GGGGGGGGGGGCCGCAATTATGCAAGAATCCATTTTCCATCTTTGGCAACTTCCCCAAATCTGATATCTTACCCAACAAAACCCATAGCAGAGATGACTGAAATATAGATTTCCTAATGCCTCTACTTTCTCCTGCCAGGTACCACATGGAATGCACTGCTTTCAGAAGAAACAGTTAAGCAAGAAATGCAAATCCCCAAATGAAAAGCTGTGATGCTGAGTTTGCCAGGTGAGAAATCGTGTGGCTGGGAAAAGGAAAGCAGGGACAAAGGAAATAAAACGTAGTTTTAACATTCGGCATTTTCCTTTCCTAAGTGTGTTTGTGGCAGGCGTGCCCACACCACCCTGTTCTTCTCCCTAATGGAGGGACAATAAGACCTCGGTTACGTTCTCCTGCCCCAGCCCAGAATGTGCAACGCACACCAGTGATTCCTTCCAAGCCTGGCACTTATGAGATGGAGGCCTTGAAAGAGGCACCCTGAGTAGAGGAGGTCCAAGTAGCTCCCTCTCCCCTTCCCCAGCATGGGACATTTGGCCCCACTGCACCATCATGGCTCTGGGACCCTGGGCTCACTAATATCCTCTCCTCATTTCAGCTTCCTCACCCCCCAAAATAGGCACAAGGCTCCCAAAGTTGCCCTGCAGATCCGTGGGGTGAGAGCATGTGCCTGGCACATCAGCAGACATTCAGTAAGTAATCGTTTCCCTCCTCTGACCTCCCTCTTGTCTATTCCTAAAAGACATATTCTTCCAAGTCGCCAAAAGCTTCCATTGGTGGCCAGACAGCAGCTACACGATAGCAGAAAAACAACAAAGAGCTAGTAAAAGTGGTTGGGAGCACTTTTCAGAACTTTTACATGATACAACAGAAAATGATGAAATATAATGTATGCTGCCTTCTCTTTGTTTGGCCTATCTTACCTATTCTCTCCGAGAATAATAACTCTGTGAAAACTAAGAACAGTCACCTTTACAACTTCTCTTTTGATGTGAATGTTATACTAGTGAGACATCAATACACAAAGCACACTGGAGCCTCATCACCGTGACAATGCCCTTCCACCCATGCAATGGAACTGTGTGACTGTCTAGCGGGTGTCACCAGGTCATTCAAAATGCCTCACACCTAATGCCTTACCCTTCGAACTCCAGCTTTGGATATAAGTCAAGAAGGACCTATATTATACTATATTCATGTACATTCGGTGTGAGATACCAAACAGACACTTAAGAAAAGCAATTTTCTCTCTCATTAGAATCCCCTTCTACCACACAATTATGGCTTCCATTACATTATATAAAATATTATTAATCCATTGGTCTCAGTCATTAGAAAAAGCTAAACAGCTACCAATTATGACATATCAGCATCATCAATAAGGCTTCTGAAAGCTCCACTTTATCCATTACACACTGTCCACCAAAAAAATAACAGGAAGCTTTTAACTTGAACAAAACTATTCTGTCTTTCAAGTTTTTATCTACTTCAAAAAGACGAAAACACACCCTTAAAACCAAGCCCTCCAAACAGTGGTGATCGTTACCAAAATAACCTAAGATAAGACTTACATGAGATGGGTTGAAGACAGGGAAAAATTAAGAGGTTGAAAGCCTCAACCCTAAGGGAATCAGGATTTTAGGATTACACTTTTGAAAGTCGTAGGTCAGATAGAAATCAGACACAAAAGAGTACAGATTCTATGCTTCCTTTTATAATACATTTTATAACAGGCAAAAATAGCCTGGCCATGGAAGATCAGCAGAAGCCTGAGGCTGGAGCTGGGAAGTGGGCTGCAAGAGGGCACAGGAGAATTTGTGGGGAATGGCAATGGTCTATAACTAGATTGTGGTGGTAATTACATGACTATATGCATTTGTCTAAACTCATCAAATTGTCCATTTAAAACAGGTACACTTACTGTATTTAAATTACACCTCAGTAAAGTCGAATTTAAAAAAAATATTGCTCAGACATAAGTCCACACTCATTCACCCCATTTTCTTCCTAAGCATTACAGAAACGACCCACATACCTGAAGCTGTGCCACAGCACGGCGGTACCCACCATGCTGAAGAAAAGATGCTTGCAATCACATCAGGTGGGAAAAGCGTCACATTCCTCTGAATCTGAAGTAAATTTAACACTAATGCCAGAAATACTCCAATAAAAAACAGCACTATTCCTCGAATCATCAAATTTATGCTCCAGCTAGTCACAGATGGGATATAGGGTCCACGCTTTTTGGGCCCAGGTAACTCTGTCTCTCCTTCCGCCATGGTTTCATAAGTTCAGTAAGCCAGGGGGGAAAAAAAAAAAAGGCTTCCCACTGAAGAGACAACTGTCCGTCTGTGAATTAAAGCAGATTGGTGTTTCAATAGTACCGCATCTTGCCCTGAAATAGGCCTACCAGAAATCCTGCAAGAGATAAGAAAAAAAAATTAATGTGGGTCTAATAAATGATTATATATTTTTCCTGATTTCAATACTAATTAGTTTAAAAGGACAAACAATGAAATAACAATCTTATGTATTTACTTAAATTAGTTACTTAATGAATAAAAAGAGGTTTAAAAGGCATATTTATATGAATAATTTTTAAAAAGTGCAACGCTTAACATTACTAGGGCAGAATATGTAACCTAAAAGACTTAAAGGTTAGAATAATAGTAAGAACAGCTTGCCCCACCTCAGAGAAAAGTGGAGCAGCTTATAGGAGATACTTCCATTAGAATCTGAAAGATCAAAATTCAGATTTCTGTTCCTTTACCTGAATCTTTATACTTTACAGAAAATAAGTTAATTTATACTTCACTGAAAATTAACCCCTTCTTTACAGAAAATAAATTTATACTTTACAGAAAATTAACACTGAAAATGTTGAACTGTTCACAATAAAATGTGACTTGCTCATGAGGACAACCTTGAATGGGGAACAAAAGGACATGTTTTATTGTTTAATGTTTATATATTTTAATTTCTGCACAAAAGTGCCTCACCAAAAGCAGACCACCATTCAGTTACCTACACATACACCAAGCACAGAAACCAAGCCTGACCGTTGTCTCCAGAGCCACAGCTGTGTCCCACCCCTGCCTGGACCCAACCCACACTTGTTGTAACCATGGGAGCTTTTGTAAAAAAGCTGGAGTAGGAAGCAGAAGAAAGGAAACTAAGAAAATGAAGAATGACCTAGATTCTAACGAAGAAGCTAGATTCTAATGAGTTTTTATCCACATAGATCCTGACTCCTAAAACCTAGAACTTTGCTAGTGCCATCAGTGTAAGTATTTGTTCACTCCTCTAACCAAAAGGACCTCTCCTTTGTGTTTGAGACAACATCTGAGGCTTTCTATGAGCTGAACACCTGACATATTGTCACTCATAGAACTCACAATAACTCTAAAAGGTAAGTGCAATTATTATGTCCATTTTACAGGTGAGGCAAAAAAAGCAAAACAGAGGTGAAGTGACTTAACCAAGTTTATACCCCTAATAAGAGGCCACGCTGGGATTCAAATTCATGCTGTCTGGCCCCAAAGGCCTCGTTCTAACCATGATGCTCAGCCTCCCAAAGTGTCACACATTCTTCTATGTGTTTTCTATAAATATTATCATTCTTAAATGGAAAAATGCTATACAGACTATTTTTGTAACTTACTTTTATGCCATCCAACAATAATATATCTTGGCCATCATCAGAAGTCAGGTCATAAATGATATTTCCTTTGAACCTCAAAGCAATTTAAAAGGCTAGGATGGCACCTCTAGGGGCTACCTTCTAATAACATGGATAGCTGCCTCATGGATTATGAACTTCTTACGCAGGCCTTATTCACTATCAAGTCTCAAATATGTCATGCAGCCAAAAGGGTGCCTGCCTCGCCCACAGTGGGAGTGCATCGTATTCCTACCTGTTTAATAAAAGTGGGTTAACTCTTTTGGAATCAAACTACACTGGGTTAAAGAGGCCTTCTGGAAGGCAAACTGAGCATTTAACCATCATTTAAAACACATTTCCTCTGAGTTACCAAGTTTCAAATTACCTTATAAATGAACTTTGGAACAAAACCCACGTCTAAATTGGCACAAGTGGGTACTGACTTTAGAAATAAGCAGCATGAAAATGAGAATATTTGTAAGTACTAGCAACTTTCACAGCCTACAAGTTTCATGTGATATTTTACTGAGCCTCTGCCACACCCAAGGCTCAGTGCCCAACACTCAAGGGGGGAATTCTGTCCTCAAGCCAGTCCTCACAAACCTACTTAGTCTCCAGCATAACTAAGCTCTACAGCTTAGAGGGCTAGAGAAAACAGTACATGCTACAGCTAATTCATGGGCTCTAAACAACAACTGGAACTGCCTGGAAAACACCCTCCTGACCTGGTTTTGCAGACCATTCCTTGCAGTAGTATGCAGCATGCCAGCACGCCATGGGTTCTAGTCGTTCAGCAAGGTGTCCAGCAGCTACACAATTCTTCTTCATGCTCGTCATCACAGGGACTACTGACACAGCACCCATTTATGGAGAACCTATTCCATGCCAGACATACAGTAACTCTAATCTTCTAAATTACCCTAAGGGTAGATATTATCGTCCTCATTTTATAAATGAAGATATTAAGTCAGTGAGATTTAGCAACTTGCTTATGGTCACATGACATGGACTATCAGAACTGGAATTTTTCCTTACATCTGACTGATTCCCAAACCCTTCTCTTTCCTCTAAACCAGAGTCCCATTCCAGCCTAACTCCTCAGGCTTCTCTTTTGGCACTGAGTGTATAGAAGAGGATTTGGTTACTGAAAAGATGGGTATGAGGCAGAATAGTCAGAAGCCAGGAAAATCCCTTGGCAAGTGGGATGGGGAAGCAGCCAGATAGCTGATTCAAGCTGGCCTCCTCCAGCTCCCTGACCCCCCTGCCTCCTTCTCCCTGGCACGACCACTGCCTTAAGGAGTAAGCCCTCAGGACAATGAAGTTCTGATCACCATCAAATAACCTCAGGAACAAAGCCTCTGGTCTGTTGACCATGTAGACAGAGTTTGGGTCAAACTGGAGGTAACATCTAGGCCTCAGTCATGTTCACAGCTACAGGCCCAGAAAAGCAGCAAAACCAGATGAAGCAACACCATGACTAATATTAGGACCAACTGCAATGACAAATGACTCTCTACCCTAGTGCTGACCTTAGAGACCAGGATCCTGAAAGGACACTCCTGGAAAGCTGATGAATATTCTATTGAGATCCTCCCCTGAGACCTCCCCTAAAATGCCCACCTTTAGAAAACAAATAAAAACCCTTAAGACAAAGGACCCAGTGTGCTCTCTCTCTGGAGCAAGCCCATGCATTCCCTCTTCTTTCCTCCCTTAGGCGCATACCTTTGCTTTCTTTCTCCTAAGCGCCAAGGCCTTTCAAATTTTGCCTCTATAACTTGTTTCCTGAGTCCACACAGCCCAGCTGGCTCACTTCTTCTACTTCTGTGACTTTCTAAACAAACTTCTTATGCTAGAGTTCTTGGCTCTGAATTTTTTCTTTGCCGAACTCAAGAACTGAGGTCTAACACTGCCGCTAATAGGTAGACATTAGAAAACAATCTCAACTATCACATATTCTCAAGGTATCAATGCCAATACTAGTAGGTGACTGTATAATAACACAAAGACCATGAGAATAAATGTACAAACACCTTGAATTTTATTTAAATGTACTAGATCAAGGAGTAAAACAAATGTTTTAAAGAAAAAAAGTCATATTGCCAACTTAAAGTACTGAATTAGACCAACAGCTAACTCTTCACTTCCTAAACTTCAAGTAGACACAGCAAACCCTCACTTTTGCTGTTAAAACAGCTACTAGAGGAAAAAGAGTATACCTGGACCTTTGAACAAGGCAGGGGTTAGGGGCACTGATGCCCCTGCAGTTGAAAATCTGTGTGTAACTTCTGACCCCTCCACAAAGCTTAACTAAATTGGCTCTCACTATCCTGGAGGGATTGGTTCCAGCACTGATCACACATACCAAAATCCGCAGATGTTCAAGTTCCTTACATAAAATGGCAGAGAATAGCGCATACAATAGGTCTTACCTCTGTGGATCCCAACCAGGGATTGGAAATACTGCTTTTGATTCAAGGTCGGTTGAATTTGTGGATGCAAAACCCACAGTACCAAGGGCCAACTATATTTATTGGGGGGAAAATCTGTATATAAGTGGGCCCACACAGTTCAAACCCATGTCATTCAGGGGTGAACTGTATATACATTTTTAGTAACCCAAACTGCTCTAGTAAATCATTTATTTAAGTTTGTGATTTTTTCCCAAACAGGAATTAATGGAGGATATTTTATGTACAATAATGTTTTTAAGAGAGCAAAATAACTTCAGTTTTAGAACTTGTTTCAGTTGTGGTAGGCCCCATTTCACAATCGCTCACCAGTGGTTGTCAAAGGGCCTTGGCATTTGGGGCTGGACAATTCCTTGCTATGTGGAACTGCCCTAGGCATTGCAAAATGCTTAGCATCCCTGGCTGGTGCCCACTAAATTCCATTACATGCCTTCTCCCCAACTTGAGACAATTAAAAATGCCCCTACACATTTCCATATGCCCCCAGAGAGGCAATGCCCTCCACTGAGAGCCACTGATTGCTAGAGACTCTTTCCTCATTCTATTTCAAGGCTGCTAGAGGTTTTCTAAACTGTTTGTTATTCTACCACAGCTGTTTATTCAACCTTTCCAGGAAGTGCTTGTTTATAGTTTCCTACTTCACTCCAAAAGTTTCCTTTAAAAATAGGAAATTTGGCCCGGCGGGGAGTGGCTCAGCGGTTGAGCGTCGACCTAGGATCCAGGAGATCAGGGTTTGATTCCCGGTCAGGGCACATGCCCGGGTTATGGGCTCGATCAATGACTCTCTCATCATTGATGTTCCTGTCTCTCTCTCGCCCTCTCCTTTCCTCTCTCTGAAATCAATAAAGATTTTTTTTTTAAATAAATAAAAGTAAAAAAAATAAAAATAGGAAATTTGTTTGACATTTATTTAAATGAGGTTTTTTTTAAAAGGTAATTTTTAAAAGTCCAAAAATCTAATTTTATGATTACATAATAATACAATAGTATATAATTACTGTAGCCAAAAATAAAAGTTAAAATGCTTTAGGATCACAGTGTCATAAAATTTTAAAAATGGCAGGGAAATGAGAGATCATCTCTTCCAAGGGGTATGTGAGCCTAATGTAAAACAAATCCAAAAAGGCTGTGCATATGTGCAATTTCCGGGAAGAGTTCCACACTTAATATCAAGTACTCCAAAGTCCACGATACAAAAGAAGGTAAGAACCAGTGATCTAACTGTTCTCTCATTTTACTGGAGAAGCAAATGAAACCCAATGTGGTCAAGTGAGGTGACAAGATCAAGATTGTGTTCTACTGGATCTTGCTGCCACAAACATGTAAAGTGAACTCCTGGAAATGGCCAGACTCATCAAAGAAATAAGAAATTCCACATGACCATTCACTCCCTACTCTGGAAAAATTATGTTACTAAAAAAGA